GAGGCTGGCCACTGCGATTGGTCCTGTGCCGTCGTGACCCGATTCCCTGATGTGACCCTCACGGAGGGGCCAGGGGCAGGGTCTCAAAGGCCTCTTTTGCCTGGTGGCCTGGCTTGTGTGTTAGGACTGGGACAAATGTCCACCTGATTTCCGGGGACCCCCAGCTCCTCCTTTGGGATGCGGGTGGGGTGGGGGCTGCATTACCCTGCATCCTCTCTGCACTCCTTCCAGCTTGGCTGTGCCCTGCCTGATGTGGTGGCCACTGGCCGTGTGTGGTTCAGAGCAGTTCCTCCATCACAGAAAGTTTTAGTGCAGAGTGCTGCTCTAGAGTCTATCCACCCTCACTCCACAAGCTGGGTGCTCGCAAGGGCCACCGAGAAGACTAAGAAAGGATCCGTCCCCTGAAGAACTCTTTCACTTGCTCATCACACCTTCACTGAGAGCCTTCTGGGTGCCAGGAGGGTGTTGTGATAACAGACGGACCGTCCTCTGCCTTTACACAGCTGCCCGTTGTGCAGGTAGATAGAAGAACATCTGCCGGCACAGAGACCAAAGTAACATCAGCTTAAACAAACTGGACGACTTTTGGTCTAAAGGCCCACGCTGGTGGGGTGGTGCGCTCTGTGGAGCTGCTTGGGTCTGTCTGTCCGTCCATGTGTGTCCCTCCTCCAGACAGCTTCGCTTTTGTCTGCCGGCCAGCATTCCAGCCAGCTGGGAGGAGGGGAGGGCAGGTGGAGGGAGGCACGCCCCTCCCCTTTGCAGGGGAACTCAGAACACACAGCCATCACTTCTGCGCACATCCCACTGACCGGCTGCAAGGGAGTCTGGGGAATGCAAACTTTCTTTGGGGGCAGTTCTGTGCTCTGCTGAAAACTGGGACTTCTGAGAAGGGATGGATGACTATCTGAGGGCTGGCAATCTTTGTCCCAGAGAGACAAATGTGAAATAAATGAATACACACATAGGTGGATAAATCTCAAAAAATGCTTTGAAGGAGAGGTACACAGGGTAGGGAAAATATGTGAAGGAGGTCAGGAAGGTTTCCCTGAGGAAGCAACATCTGAGCTTACAGGAAAGAAGGGTAAGAGTGTTCACAACAAAGGCAGCAGTGGGTGCAAAGGCCCTGTGGTCAGAGGAAGTATGGCACACTCAGGAAACTTAAGAAGGCCTGGTCTACAAAAGAACTCACAGAAATTTTCTATAGGGTGATTTGAAGAGTGAAGGAAGTCCCTGAGGATGGTCCTTATAAGGGAACTACATGGGCTGGGAGTCAGAGATATCTACTCTGCTCCAGGCACATTTATTTATTTATTTATTTATTTATTTATTTATTTATTTATTTATTTATTATTTAATTGGAGTTCAATTTGCCAACATATAGCATAATACCCAGTGCTCATCCCATCAAGTGTCCGGGCACTTTTCTAAAGTTTCTGTGTACATCAATTCATTTCATCCTTGAACAACCTATGAGACAGCTGTGAGATAGCTACCCACGCCAGCTCTCATCTTCAGAGAGCAGATGCCAAGAAGGGGTGAGATGTACAAGCGGCTTGTGGGGAGGTGCCTGTGGAGGATGAGGAAGAGGAGGTAGGAGCAGGATCCAGTGAGGAGAGCCCTAGGCCAGGGCCTGGGGCTAGTACCATGAAAGGAGAGGGGGCAGGAGGGAGGACAGGGAGGGAGAGCCTCAGATGGCAGGGCAGCATAGAGAGAGCTTGACCACGCCGGGTGGACTGCCCCTGTGCTCAGACTGTCCATGGGGAGGCTGGGGGTCGGGTAGGAGGGACTGGCTCCAGCAGCTAACATCCTGGCTTCTGGGTGACGCTGCACCAGGCCCAGGGGTAGGGCTGCAAGGGGCTGCTGGTCAGCAATGCTCCCCGAGGCTGTCCTTTAATGACAGGGCTCAAGTGGGACACCTTCATGCTGTTATCCCATATTATGGATGTGGTGGCAAGGAAGGGGAAACAACTCTCACAAACTTGCAGAGCACAGGGGCGGCAGAAGCAGGGCTTGAACCCAGACCGATCAGTCCAGAGTCCTTGCTTTGACCGAGGTGGGGCTGTCCAAGAGAATGTGTTGTCCTTGGGTGGGACAAGCGGGAGCAAGTAGATGCTTGGCAAGAGTCATGTCGCTCAGAGCCTTGAATGCCAGGGTAAGTTAGGGCATGAGCCTTTTACTGCACCATGGGGAGCCAGTGCGGGCTCTCAGACAGGACCCTGCCCTGGCTGGCCCCCAGTATCTAGCACGGGGCAGCAAAGGGGGTGGAGTGGAGACCATGGCAGCACAAGGCTTTTGCTCTGTGAAGCCTGTGAGGTCCTCAGGAGGAGGTGTGAGGGGAAGATCTGGAGCTGGGGTTTGAGGGGAGGCTAGGGCTGCAGATGTTCCGTGCCCAAGGGATGTGCTTATGTCACACCAACTGGGGCCCTGCTGGTGGAGCAGACTGGTGGAGCTGGTGAGGCCGGCAAGCGCACTCAGGACGGGCCTGCAGGGCCATGTTGTCTTGTCTGAGCCATCTGGGTGCTGGGTGTCCGGGGCCCGCCGTGGGCTCAGCCCTGTGACCAAGGCTCCTCAGCCAGGACTCAGGAGCCCACCAGGACAATGCTGGACAAGTGGAGGAAGCAAGTGTATGTGAGCTCCACCTCCACCCTGTCCTGGACTCTGCATATGCTTCCCTGGGTGACACACTTGCTCTCTGAGCGGCATTTCTTTGTCAAAATACTGACGTCTGAGGTGTTGTGAAGATAAAGTGAGCCTCTGTGAAGTGCAACATGGGTACTGGAGACATCCAGCGAGGAGGATTGCCCCCAAACCGGCCTGAGGAGGAGAGATTTGGGGCAAGGATGGGGGCCACGGGGGGCGGGCCAGAGGCGTCCTGGGCACAGGTGAGGAGAGGAGGGGCTTTGAGAAGCCCTGCCAGGTTCCCTGAGAGGAGCCGCACCCGCACCCGTTGGAAGGACACAGTCACCTGCCGCATTCCGCAGGGCACAAACCCAGCTTCACGTGTCTCACGTCCTCGTCTGTTACCAGTGTCTCCCAGCTGCCAAACCCTCTGGGAAACCAAGGGGTCCCTGTTCATGGCCTGTGAAAAGCCTCTGAGGGCACAGAGCGGGGGCAGAAGGGCAGAAAGAGCGACCCGAAGGGGCCCGCACAGAATGTGTAGCACAGGGAGGGGGCATCGTTCGCTTCCAGTATAGACACAAAAGAGACAAGCGTGTTATTTACAATTAGGTCATAGGAAAACCCAGACAGAAATGTTGAGTGGGACTGAGGCCAAGTGGGATTCTTCTTTCTGTTCTACGCCTTTCTGTGGTGCCGGAACACGCAGGTGTTGTTTTTAAAAGAACTACTCAAATGAGTGAGTGGCCTGGATGTCAGTCCAAGGAGCCTGGGCTTGCACCTGTAAGGGGTTGGAGCCTCCACACCCCTGGTTCTGTCAACAAGGCGGCTACTGTTCTGTTTGTAGGCTTTCTTGCATTTTCTGGCTGAGCACGCCCTGGAATGCCGCCCCTCCCAGGAACGTCAATCCCTATTCAGCACACCAAGCTCCACGCTGCCGCCCCGTTGGAGCTTCTTTTTTTTAATTTTTTAATTTTTTTATTTTGTTATTTTTTTATTTTTTAATAAATTAATTTTTATTGGTGTTCAATTTACCAACATACAGAATAACACCCAGTGCTCATCCCGTCAAGTGCCCCCCTCAGTGCCCGTCACCCATTCACCCCCGCCCCCCGCCCTCCTCCCCCTCCACCACCCCGAGTTCATTTCCCAGAGTTAGGAGTCTTTATGTTCTGTCTCCCTTTACCTCCTGCAGCACCACCATCTTGCTTCCCCCTGGGGGCGGGGTGCCCAGGCTCCCATTTCACAGCATTGCCCAGCGCCCCTACAAAGATAAGTCTGAGCTGATATCTGAAGGATGAGTGGAGTTAACCAGGCCAACATGTGTGCTGGAGAGAGGAGGAGAATGACCCAGACAGGAGGCACTCTGTAGAAAGGCAGTCCTCTGAGACTAGCCTGGGGTGTTCTGGGTCCCTTTCGGGGAAAACTGTTCTTCTCATTTCTCCAGTGACCAGTTTCTTAACTCATTTGGGGTAGGTTCCTCAGCCCTGCCTCATTCCTCTCAGGTTGACCCTGTTTGCTTTAAGTCTTTCAGAAATTCATTAATTCAACAATTGAGCACTTACTGTGTGCTTGATGCTAAAGATACGATGAAGGGAACAAAGGGACAGAAATCACTGCTTAGGTGGAGCTTGCATTCTATTAGAGGAGATCAAACACAAAATAAAATGTAAAATGTGTAATACATAAGCAAGGAATAAATGCCAATAAAAAGGGGAAACAAGATAGGGGAATAGGAAATATTAGGGAGAGTGTTAGATTGGGTGTTTAGGCAGAGGTCCCTGAGAAGATAACATTAGAATAAAACCCTGAAGGAGACCAAGGGAACCACATAATTTGTGGGGAAAGAAGCTTGTACAGGCAGTGGGAACAGCATGTTCAAGGGCCCTGGGGTAGAACTGGCCCTGGTATGTCTGAGGAACTGCAAGGAGGCCAATGTGGCTAGAGTGATGGAAGCAAGGGGAAAGGAGTAGAGTAAGGTCAGGTATGTAGTGGGGATGAGGGTACAGATCCTGTAGGGCGCTGGAATGTTCTGAGTTAAGGAGAGACATGATCTTACTCAGGTTGTAACAGGAGCATCTTGGCGGTCCTTCAGTTTTCTCCCCAGTTTTTTTTTCTTTTTTAAGATTTATTTATTTATTTATTCATGGGACACACACACACAGAAAGAGAGAGAGAGAGAGAAGCAGAGACACAGGCAGAGGAAGAAGCAGGCTCCATGCAGAGAGCCCAATGTGGGACTCGATTCCAGGTCTCCAGGATCAGGCCCTGGGCACGCCACACCGCAGAGCCACCCAGGCTGCCCTCTTCCCAGTTTTACTGAGATATAATTTACTGAGCTATATACTTGCAGCACCGGAGGAGGAGTTTAGCATGTACACATAATGGTCTGACTCACATTTATGGTGAAATAATAACCACAGTAAGTTTAGCTAGTAGCCATCATCTCCCATAGATACAATAAAAAGGAAAAGCGAAAAAAGAAAAAAAAAAGACTTTCTTCTGGTGAGAACTCTGGGGATCTACTCTCTTAGTGACTTTCCTGTATATCACACAGCAGTGCTCCCGGCTTATTTATCTTATGCCTGGAGGTTTGTACCTTCCATCACCTTCTGCAATCCCCTCTCCCCCCACCCTCCGCCTCTGGGGACCACAAGTCTGATCTCTTTTTCTGTGAGTCTGTTGTTTTTAGTTGTGTGTGTGTGTGTGTGTGTGTGTGTTTTAGATTTTATTTATTTATTCATGAGAGACACAGAGAGGCAGAGACACAGGCAGAGGGAGAGGCAGGCTCCCTGTGGGAGAGGGATGCCGGACTGGATGCCAGGACCCCGGGATTGCGCCCTGAGCCGATGATAGGTGCTCTGGTGGCTCTGAGCCACTCAGGTGCCCCTGTTGTTTTTAGTTTCTAACACGCCACACAGAAGTGAAGTCACACAGTATTAATTGTTCTGTGCTCCTCAGTTTCTCATCCTCTATGTGCTGAAGCTGCTGCAGACGCATTTCGTCCTCAACACCAGCCTCGGTCTGGCTCCCGGTGGCGGCAGGCGCTGCATCCCTGGGCCCGACAGGGTGCACGGGGAGGACCCCACGACCCAGCGGGAGCCCCGGCGGGGACTCAGGAGCCCAGACCCGCAGCACTCTGGGCAGCCCAGCGAGCGCAGCGCAGCGCAGCGCAGCCCAGGCCAGTCCAGGTCTGGCCGCGAGTTCCAACTCTGGCGGTGTCCTGGGAGGGGAGCGGGGAAAACGCTGTGCACCCAGGCCGGGAAGGGAAGGCCGCGACCTGCCGGGAAGGAGCACTGCCCGCGTGCCCCTCGCTTGCCTGAAGCTGCCCTCCGTGGGGCGGGCGGACAGGCTCTGCGTCGCCGCCTCCCCCGTGCCGGCCCGGGGAGGCCCGTGGCCCCTCGCCGTCGGCCTCCTCCTCCGAGACCGGGCGCAGCAGGGTACCCGTTGGGCCGTCGGAGCGTCTCGCCCACCTGGGCGGGGTGTCCGGGCCGGCTGGGCCTGGAGCGGCGTGGAGCGCCGCGGCGTCCCGGGGCGCGGGTGGCGGGGCAGCGGCCGGGGCCCCGGGATGGCTCCGCAGAGCGGCTGTGCCGCGCCGTAAGGCTCCAACCTCCCGTGCCCGAGGCCGGTCTCCGACGCGCTCCGGGTCTCGGGCGGGACAGCGCGGGGACCCGCTCGCGGTAGGCGAGGGCTGGAGGGACGCCGACCGCGGGGCGCGAGCTTCCGAAGCGCCTGGGCGGGCGGGGCGGGCGCCAGCTTAGGGCGGGTGGCGGGGGCGGGGGCGGGGGCGGTGCTGGGGCTCCGGGCGGGGCGGGGACGCGCGGCGCCGGCCAATGGGGCGCGCGCCCGGGGCCGAGCCTCCTGCGAGCCTTCCCGGCGCCCGCGGCGTCACGTGAGCCGCGGGGAGCGAGGCCGAGCGAGCGGCAGGCGGTCGGGCTCCGCCGCAGCGACCCGCGGGCAGCGGGCGAGCGCCCCGAGCAGGACCCGCGCCCGGCCCGCCGCCCCCGCCCCGCCCCGCCCGGAGCCCCAGCACCGCCGGGCCTGGCCGCTGCCGGGCGTGCGCCCAGTTCAGGTGGGAGAGGCTCGGGGGGGCCGGACGGCCGCGTGGACGCTGCTCGGGCGCCCGGGGCTGGTCGGGACCCGAGGGGGCGGCGGGGCGCGGACTGGCCTCTGGCCGTGCGGCGGGAGCCCGCGCCGCGTCCCCAGCCGTGCGCCGGCGCCCGGGGAAGGTCGGAGGGGCCGGGCGAGCCCGGGGACGCCGGCTCCCGGGCCGTGGGCACTGCCCCCGCGCTCCCATATGGCGGGCCCCGGGCCGGGCCTGGCGGGAGGAGCAGGCGGGCGGCCGGGCTGGGGGCCGGGCCGGGCCGGGCCGGGAGGGGGCCGCGGGGCGGGGGTCACGCGGGCCTCCGAGCCGGGGCCTCGGGGGAGGGGGCGCGGGCCACGCGCTCCGGGGTCTGTGCCCCTTTCCCACGGCGGCTCCACGCGCGAGTGTGCCCGGGGCCCCCGGCACAGCCGCGCCGCCGCGCACCACGCCCCGCACACGCGCGGGCCCACGACAGGAACTCACACCCCTGCGCGCACACCCGCACCGTTCACACTCCCGTACTCCTACCGCCTGCGTCGGGCCCCCAGGTTCTGTCCGCGGAACACGGGCACCAGGGTGACCAAGGGGGGGCGGGGGCGGGGGCAGAGGACAGGCCACCCCCCACCGCGGCCGTCGCCCTGTTGGGGTCCCTGTCTCCTCCCCACTGTGGCATTCCCAAAGGACCTTCTCCCCCCCCCCCGTGACTTAGAGGGGATGTTCTCTCACCCCGTCCCTGCGCAGCTGACAAAAAAAAAAAAAAAATGCTTTAGTCCCTCAAATCACCTTTCTCCCAAGGACCGGGTGGCTCCTGGGAGCCCCTGCCGTCCTACAGGTGGGAGGACGCCTGGGCTCTGCGACTTTGGGGCCTGCGGATGGCGCAGGGAGCCGAGACTCTTATTTTGAAGGGCGGCCCCCACCCGCCACCCCCGTGATTTGCACGCTGACCCAATGGCGAGCCCTTGGCCGGCGCTGGGCTTGTTATCAATTACATGTTGTTCCTGCAGCCGCTGTGTCCCCGGGAGGATAAACAGCAGGCCTGGCCCGGCCGGGGGAGGGGGCGGGGTCCGGCTGTAGGCCCGGGCCGGTGCCCGGAACAGCGTGTCCCCTCCCCCTGCACGCAGCCAGTGCTTGCGGCCGCGCCATGTGCTGCTGTGTGTTAGCGCCCCAGCCGGCTCCCTGCAGCCCTGGCGGCCCGTTCTTGTGTCGCTGGCGCCTGCGGTGGCCCCAGAGCCCTTTCTCTGCTCTCAGTGCCTGAGTGTGCAGCCCCAGCGGCTCAGCCCCGCAGGAAAACTCTTGTGCCTGACCCTGGCCCTGCTACTGCTGGAGGAATCTCCACACCCTTCCCTCTTGCCTGTCAGCCCCAAGCATCTCTCACCCACTCAACCAGCAAATTGTGCGGGCTCTTGTTTTAGATTGTGGGATAGTGGTGGATGGGGTAGTCAGAACAGCTTATATTTTGGTGGGGAGGTAGACAGAAAATACGTACACACAAACACATAACCAAGATAGTTTGGGGGGGGGCAGCTGCTGGATGATTTCACAGAGGGTGGTCCGGGGAGGCCCCCCAGGCAGTGACTTCAGAGCTGGGGTCCAATTAAGGCACTCCCACCTGGTGCTGGGGGAGGCAGGGGAGAAGAGGGACCCACAGTGAGGGCACAGCCAGCGTGGATTAGAGCAGGTGGAGGTGAGGCCTGGGAGAGATGGGCAAGGCCCAGGTGCTGGGCTGCTGGGAGAAGACGGGGTCATATTTTGTGGGGAAGTTATTGGAGCTCTTCTCCTACGCGACCCTACTGTGCTTAATTTCTTTTCCCTGGTGCTTCTTTTTATACCATTTCATCTGTGATGTCTCAGTCATCAACTCTGATACCATCATCACACTCTAAAATATTCACAGTAACTCCTTGCTGTCATGTAATAAATAGTCAGTTGATGGTCACATTTCAGGGAAGAGTTTTTTTTTTTTTTTTTTTTTTTTCAGGGAAGAGTTTTAAGTGGGCAGGAGCATGACCTGATCCGCCCCTCACCTCCGGTTATGGCCTATTCTAGGTCTAGGAAGACTGGGGCCCTCCTGATTCCTTAGGACTACAGCAGAGGGGCAGAAGGATCGTGTGTTCACCTATTTGAAGGTTAATCCTAGTGGCTGGTACTGACCGGGGCCTGCGTGTGCCAGCCCCTGTAACAAGTGTTCAACCTGTGTCCACTCACTGAACTGTTTCAGCAGCCTGGGAACTAGGTCCCACTGGCAGCATCCCCACCCAGCAGACCCACACACAGACCCAGAGAGGTTGTGCCACCTGCCTGAGCTTGCCCAGCCAAGTTGCAGAGGCAGGAGCAGAGCTTCCTGCTCAGAGGGTGAGGGAAAGGGGTGGTAGTGGGGCTTAGGGCCCAGAGTGTGCTTGTTGCCCTTCACATCATCTGGCACTTGCATTCCTTCTCAGCACCTGATTTGGTGAATAGCATGTATTTTAAAACTGCCAGTTTTGAATCCTCAGATGAGTATTTAAAATCGAAGAGTCGAATATCCTCTTGGCAAAGCGGCCCTGGGGTGCAGACTTGCCAAAGGCATGTACCTTGCTTTAGTTTCCTGGAGCTCTGTGAAGCTTCCTGGATTAGTGGGGAACTGAGGTCACTGGGGCCTGGAACAGGTGGGGAAACTGAAATTTGGGGAGCACACAGCTGACGATGATCCTGGCTGGCCTTGAGAAGTCTGTTGCTGGCCAGGCTTGTTGACTTGCTGACCGGTGAGTAGTACCGTGTGCCAGGTCCAGGAGTAGGCCTTGAGACAGAGCACAGGGCTGGGTGCAGAGTGGTGACAGGCAGCAGAGAATCTCTGGTTTCAGATGTAGCCCTTCCCTCTTCCTTGAACCTCACTGGTCACTGGGCGGGGACAAAGGTCCATGGAGGTGGCCCCATTACAGCCGTTATGCTGTTGACTCTCCTTGGACACCGGACTTAGCATGGCCTTCAGAGGACGCAGATGTCCCCTCTCTTCTCTGTTGGTATTCTCTGAGCCCCTCCTGGGCACCAGCTGCCACGCCGGAAGCTGGGAACACAGTGGAGACCCAGCAGCCCAGCCTGCCCTCATGCAGTTCATGGTCTAGGGGGGAGACGGGAGTTATCTGGGCCTTCCTGAGGTGGTGAGTGCTCCGTGGGGTACAGGCCAAGGGCATCCTATCTCATCTCCTGCGAAGTCAAATGGGATAGTGGCTGTGGGAGTGCTCTGGGACCGGGACCACTTTTGTATCATGAGTTATCACCATGGGGCAGGGTCTTGTCCACCCAGTGGTAGAGCCTCAGTAAAATGTCCTGGTGCAGTTGAGGACATTTTGTTCTGTGCCTGCCATTCCTATTTCACAGAGGAGGCAGCTGAGGCTTGAGGGGTGTGAGAACGAGAGGGTGGATTAGCTGCCCTCCTTCCCGGGGGTGGGGGGGTGGGGGGGTGGGGGGGGGTGGAGCAGAGCCTGTGAAGATGGAGACCCACAGATGGGTCTTTAATCTTTTTTTTTTTTTTGCCACAAATTAGACTTGCCTAATCAAAATATAGACTGCCAAGTTAAGGTTCAATATCAGATAAAGTAATTTCTTAATATGAGCATGGCCTGTTTAACGTTTGGGATATACTTATGTTAAAAGTTGCTTGTTTTTTCAAATCTGAAATTCACATTTAATTGGGTGGCCTGTGGTTTTATTTGCTCAACCTGGCAACCCTATGCAAGCCTCAACAACACAGGGGTCAGAGGGCAAGTGGCCACTCTTCTACCCCCCTTCCAGTGACTCAACAAGAATGGAGCTGAGGTCAGGTGTCCTCGGAAATGCAGCCACTCCAACTGGCTGGACGGGGCTCCCCAACCTTGACGGTTTGAGGGTCCGGAGAGCCTCCTTGCGTCCTTTGTCACTCACATGTACTCACAGTCATTCACAGACAGGTACATGTGTGTTCTTTCCCGAATTGTTCTGGAAAACCTGTTTGAAACCAAAAGTAACCCGGATTGTGCAATGGGCTTGGAGAGCACTCTTTTGCAAATAGGTGGTGCAATTTCGGAAAACACTCTTGCAGACAAAGTTCTCCCACGGGATGGGATGGAGACAGGATCCAGGCATTTGGTAATGAGAGACTATGGGCAGGCAGCAGAGTGGGGGGGGGGGGGCACAGGCCCTCGAGGTGGCAGGTGAGCATGCCGTCCTCCTGACCAGGCCTCCTTTGTTCCTCTCTGTAGTCGCCAACGGCACGGCCAGGCCAGCATGGTGGACCACTTGCTTCCAGTGGACGAGACCTTCTCGTCGCCGAAATGCCCAGTTGGTTACCTGGGTGACAGGTTAGCCAGTGGACGGGCATACCACATGCTGCCCTCACCCCTCTCGGAGGATGACAGCGACGCCTCCAGCCTCTGCTCCTGCGCCAGCCCGGACTCACAAGCCGTCTGCTCCTGCTACAGCAGTGGCCTGGGTGCTGAGGGCCAGGACAGCATCTTGGACTTCCTGCTGTCCCAGGCCACCCTGGGCAGTGGTGGTGGCAGTGGCATCGGGGCTGGCAGTGGTCCCATGGCCTGGGGGGCCTGGCGCAGGACACCAGCACCTGTCAAGGGGGAGCATTTCTGCTTCCCCAAATTTCCTGTGGGTGACCCTGATGATGTCCCAAGGCCCTTCCAGCCCACCCTGGAGGAGATTGAAGAGTTTCTGGAGGAGAACATGGAGCTGGGGGCCAAGGAGGCCCCAGAGAGCAACAGCAAGAACGCAGAGGCCTGCAGCCAGCTCTCAGGCGGGCCGCACAGGAGCCACCTCCACCCCGGGTCCGGTGGCAGAGAGCGCTGCACTCCCCTCCTGGGCGGTGCTGGTGCAGATGGCAGCCAGAGCCCTGCTGGGGGGCCCGCATCAGATGGCCCCATCCCCGTGCTGCTACAGATCCAGCCTGTGCAGGTGAAGCAGGAATCGGGCACGGAGCCGGCCTCCCCTGGGCATGCCCCAGAAGGTGTCAGGGTTGCCCAGCTTCTGGTCAACATCCAGGGTCAGACCTTCGCACTTGTGCCCCAGGTGGTGCCGTCCTCCAATGTGAACCTGCCTTCCAAGTTCGTGCGGATTGCCCCTGTGCCCATCGCTGCCAAGCCCATTGGGTCGGGACCCCTGGGGCCCGGCTCCACTGGCCTCCTCATGGGCCAGAAGTTCCCCAAGAACCCCGCAGCAGAACTCATCAAAATGCACAAATGTACTTTCCCCGGCTGCAGCAAGATGTACACCAAGAGCAGCCACCTCAAGGCGCACTTGCGCCGGCACACAGGCGAGAAGCCCTTTGCCTGCACCTGGCCGGGCTGCGGCTGGAGGTCAGTATGACAGGTGACAGGCTGGGCAGTGAGCACACTGGCTCGCCTCTGATCCCCTGGGTGTGCGGTCAAGGCCCAGTTCACCATTAGATAGAGCTGATTAGGAAGGAGGTGGGGGGGCAGGCAGGGAGCGGGGCCGGAGCTGGCACGGCTGCTCAGAGGGCTCCTGGTCCCTGCTGAGCACCAAAGCCTGAAATCAACTGGTCTCCGGTTTCATAATGACCAGGTAAAGCTCGCTGGGGCTCCGGCTGAGGGTGAGGAGCCGGGCCTGGGCAGAAGGGCTCTTTTGGTACCTGTGGGGCCAGCTAAGAGGATGGAGGAAGGGCTGTGCCTCCCATGGGGCCGTGCCACAGGGGCATCGCTCCCTCTAGGCCTCCCAGCACCCGTAAGGGTAAGTACTGCCCTCACTGCCACCTTACAGCTGAGCAGGTAACCTGCCCAGGGCCACACCACTTAGTAAATGGGATTCCAGCCCCGAGAGTCATATCAGAGAAGTCATATCCAGAAAACGCTTTTCCAACCAACTTTACTTGTAGACGTTCTTGGACACATGGGCTGTGCCTGGTCCTTACTCCCCTGGAGGTACTTGAAGCTATATTTGGGAAACTGCGAAGGACAACCGAGAGGGAGGATCAGGTGGGAAGGTGCTGCAGTAAAGGTGGAATCGTCCTTCCAGACTCTACCCTGTGTGGGACAGCAGGGGACACCAGCTCTCCAAGGGCGGCGGTCTGGCCCGGGCTGCCCAGCCAGTGGGTGATGGAGCTGGATGGGTTCCCGGGTATGGCCCGCCCTCTTCAGGGGGGCTTGTGCACCTTTCCCTGAAGAGCAGGTGGCCAGGAGCTCCCATGCCCAGGCTACCACAGCTGGGCTCTCCCCAGTTTTTAGGACACCTACCCTGGGGGAATGCAGCCTATCCGGGAGGGTGGCATGTGCTTCCGTATGTTCCCAGGCTTTGCCGCGGCTGCTGCTTTGTGAGTATGTGCGTGAGTCAGGGCCACAGGGCGTGCTCATCTGTGTGCTGACCTCACCGTGGGAGTGCAGCTGTGCGTCCTGCTTTCTCCATGCGTGTCGTGGTGTGTTACGTGACTACGTGTCTGTGGCCCTCGTCCGTGCGTGGGCATTTGCGTGGGTGTGACCTACGCAGAGCAGTGGCAGCTTCTGTTTCCCTGACCAGAGTCCTCTGGGAGCGCGGGAGGGTTGGCCGCTCCTGGGAGATGCCGGCCCTGGAGTCCCAGCTGGCCGAGGCTGTGGCCGGATCTGGGACCGAGTCTCTGAAGTGACGAAGCAGCCTTCATCCACGGAGTGCCAAATGGGCCAGGGAAGGGACTTTGGCCAGATAGCATCCTGGGGAAGGGTCCCCCCAGCCACTGCCCCAAAGGCGCCCATCTCACAGGCCCACGTGGCTTCCCCCACAGCCTGTGCTCCAGCTCTATGGCGTTGGCTCCAGGGTGTCAGTGGCTGCCGTCGCATGCCTCTCTGAATCTCCCGCCACAGTCTGGGGTGGGCCCTGGGGTGCCAAGGGCCCCTGTGGGGTGGCCTGTAAGGCCCGACGCAGTAGGAGGTATGCAGTGTTGGTGGTCAGAGCTTTGGGTGGGGGGAGAGGCCGAGACACGGGCTGTAGAGGCAGGTGCTCAGCTGTAGAAGGCCAGGGCATTGTGACAGCTTGGCCTGGGGGTAGCCAGCAGCCAAAGCTGGGAGCCTCCGCCCAGGCCTCCGGCTTGCTGTGTGCCCTTGGGGAGGTCCCTCCAGGCCAGGCCTCCGCTTCCTCATCTTTGAAGGGGAGGGCCTGCTCCCTACCAGGGTCAGGGGGGCAGGGATGCCCAGCACCACCCCCTTCTTGTGGGTGGTACTGTTACAAGGGCAGAGTCTGAGAAGGGTGCCAGCCTCATAGGGGCTCCTCTTGGATGCACTTTGCTCTTGGTGGGGGGGTGGTGGGCTGTGGCATCTGGCCTTACAGAGCACTGGTCTCATCTTCTTGGGCCCTGTCCCCGGCCACTCCTGACTCTTGGTGGTGGCCCTTCCAGTCGGAATGGGGCTCGCTAGGGCCAGAGGACGAGCAGTGTGGTCCTTGGCGAAGGCTGCCCACTTTTCCCATTCCCCAGGAGGATGGGACCTGCCTTCTGTGGAGTCCTCAGCCCAGAGGACAGCTTCGGGAGGCAGGTCTCAGCCCCAACACAGTAGCTTCTGGAGCTGGTGAGTTCCCATGGGAGGAGGTGTGCAAGCAAGAGCTGGATTCAGCTTTTCCACTGCGTGGGCCTTTGCACTAGTCTTCTTGTCCAGGATCCTCTGGGCAGGGGAAGGCAGGGAGTGTGCCTGCATAGTGCCGTCCCTGTGGAGCTGACCCGGAGCCCTCCCTGCCTCCAGCCACTCCTAGGTCTTCAGAGGGCCTCCCCAGCTTCTCCCAAGTTTCCCCTGAAATGGGGTCTGGCTTTTGTTGGGTTACAGGTGATGGAGGCATAGGGAGCTGAGGGTGCCTGCCTTTTGGGAGAGCTGTCTCTCTGAGAATGCAAGAGTCCCTGGTTGGCCTTCAGGAATCCTTCAGGAGGCCCTGGAGATGTACACAAGATTACGTGTCCCTCCTACATGGGGGGAGCCCTTGCAGGAGCTGAGTAGGAAGACAGACCAGTTTTGGGGCAGCTTAGTCTGGACAGGACGGCAGAAGTATGTGCCATGTTTTCTGACCACTTACTATGTGTTGGGCAGTGCTCTAAGGTGCTCAGAGTGGGAATATCTTCCACAAATGGCCACACTTGCTTGTATACTTCCTGCCATGAGGAACTCATTACCTTATGAGGCTCTTCTGGCCCTTTTGTGTGCTTTGGTCACTTAGATTTCTATCTAAACTTCTCATTCTGGCACAATCTGCTTGCCAACCTCCCTTCCACAATGCACACTCCCCCGGGCCACCATCCTCTCTGCGCCCTGTGTGTCTGTCTCTAGCACTTTCCTCTAATGGCAGTGGTCGCTGGTCTTGGTGATGCTCCCTGCTTTGTTCTGCCCGTGTCACATAGATAAGCTCGTTGAGTCCTCACAATAGCCCTGTAACATGGAGGCGCCAGTCTGCATTTCCAGAGAGCCCATGGGGATGGAGCTAGTGAGCATGGCTCTGGCGGTGCCCTCAGCCCTACTTGACCCACCCCCTTTGGGTAGACATGCCTTTCCCACCAGGAACTTGATGCCTGCAGCTGTGTGGCTGGCCTTTCTCTACTCCTCTCTCCCTGTACACCTGGTACACTGGCTCAGTGTCTTTTCTCCCCCACGAGGCCACCAGCTCTCTCAGGTGTTATGCTTCTGGGCTAGGAGAAGAGAGCCATCACCAACAACAGCAGTAACAGTAGCTCCTAACACGAGCTCTGAACATTCCAAAGTAACTCATTTAATGCTCTGAGCAAGTCCACAAGGTAGGCATCAGTCATTGTCCCCTTTATAGAGGAGGAATTTGAAGTACAGGACAGTTAAGTTCTCCTTGGTCATACAGCTAGTGAGTAGCAGAGTCGGGAGTTCAACCCAGGCTGTTTGCCCCCTGATCTCCTCCACCCAGACTCAGGTCTCTCTCCTGCACCCCCACCCCCTCAGGCAGACCTCCAGTGGGAGGTGGCCTGCTCAAGCGGTGGGAGGGAGGATCTCTACCTGCAGCTGATCTTTAGGGAGCACTTCTGCATATTTGCCTGTCTTCTCATATGGGGAGCTTACCACACCCACGGCTGCCTCTCTTCCCAGTGGCCCTGGTACGCAGTTTGCTTTTTATCCTGTTGGGCTGGTTCTGGCCTTGGCACTGTGTCCTGTACCCTTTTGTAAAATGAATGGTGCTCCCCCCAACCCAGGTCGTCATTTGCCATGTAACCAGCCCCCACTTCCTTCTGCTTTTGGTCCTGAACCCAGTATTCCTTGTCCCCTCCCCCCCGGGACGTGGTTCTGGCACCCTTAATGGGGCCCAAACCAGACTTTCCCTATCCCGATCTAACTGTCTGGGAAGTGGCTGTTTGCCTGCCTTCCTAGAAGTTTCCTTGCTATGCTCAGACACAGGCCCCCTTTGTTCACAGCAGCAGAACGTCCTGTTCCAGAATGGCCAAGCGTCCCATCCAGAAAGAATACCCTCCTTCCACAGCTAATATAAATATTAATAACTCCTAGCAACCCTATGTGGTAGGTACTATGGTCATCCTCAGTGGACGTGGGAGGCCCAGAAAGGGGTACTTGCAGGATTGAGGACCCGGAGCCAGGATGTGGCAGCGACAGGATTCAGACCCAGTGGCCCACTACTGGCCTGCTCCTATTCAACGACACATTCTCTAACCTCTTCCCTCCATTTGGTAGAGCTCCCAGTGTCGTTGGGCAGGTTGTGCACTGTACAACTCCAGGGAGCACCATTCCCATTGTAGTCCTCAAGACCTGACGATTTACAGTAATGGCTTTCTGGCTGATGGAAGGGGCACTTTGCACAAAGATGCCGTGTGTGCCCATTGTGGTGCTGATGTTCTTGGCTGCTTCTCTCTCTGGCACCTCAGGAGCACGAGTCATGGTACTGACCCATGTGCTCCTGGGCATCAGCAGGGACCAGGCACCGTGCTGAGCTCCTTGCAGGTAATCAGAGCTCACAGTCCTTGAATGATTGCCATGTGCTGAGTCCTCTGAGGCAGATCTGTCATTTCTGCATCTCCAGGTGGGGAAACTAAGCCTCAGAGAGCTTGGTGACTTGACCAGGTCATCTGATCGGTAGGTGGCAGAGCTCACCGCCTGCAGGGTCTGCATCTCAGCCACCTGCCCCCCTCCCACTGTGTGGCCCCCAGGCTCCTCCAGTGGCCGCTCTCCAGAAGAATGTGTGTGAGGGTGTGAGGTAGGGATCTTCTGAGGGCTCACTTCCCGGGGATGGACCCCAGGTCATAGGACCCTGAGGCAGCAGGGAAGAGGCTTATAGGTGGGGACAGCTGGTTCTCAGGCCTGGCTCTCCCTTGGTGTCCCCATGATGAGAGGCCACTCCTTGTGTCAACTCCTTGGCCTCCAGGACAAATCCCAGAAGGTGGGCCAGAATCCCAAGGTCTTCACTGGATGAGTGAGGAAACAGACCCAGGCTGCTCCTGGAGCTCACTCAGGACCACACAAGGCCTAGAAGGATGGGACCTAGTGGGGTGGGGGCCTAGAAGGATCCAGCCATTCCACTGACTGTGTGACCCTGGCAAGCCCCTTGTCCTTTTTGCGTGCTTTTGCTGTTTTATTGCCAGTTCTCTGGGACTGATCCTGCTGCCTCCCTGACCAGAAAGGTACCTGGTGTTTGGAAAGGCTCAGATATTGCTGGTGGCATTGTTTCTGTGGCTTTCTGCTTGCTCCTGCCCTGGGTAGACCCACCTGTTCAGAAGCTGTGTGTTCAAGTCCTACTGGGGGCAGGTGGCCCTGGCCTGGGGGCACGGTCCAGGCTCTGACCTCCAGGGTGCATCAAGGTCACTTCCTCACTGGCTCAGGGCTCCAGTGCCTACACTACCCAGGCAAGCAATGTGGAGGAGGCCAGCACTCTGCAGTCACCAGGATGGGCAGGCACAGCAGGGTGCTATGCCAGGACCTTTGCCCTGGCCTTGTTTGCTCTGTCACGTTGGGGATGCTGGATCAGGCCCTTATCATTCTGAGCCTCGATTTCCTCATCTGGCAAATGGGCCAGTCAGGCTTCCATCATTCCAAACATATGCTGAGAGCATTGCTCTGTGCCAGCCCCAATTGGGGCTCTGGGATAGGAAGTGGAGTTGCCAGCCTCCCAGTGCAGAAGCCTGGCAGTTCTCTTGGGACAAGGCCCTGGGCCCCAGAGGCAACTTAGCCAGTCTGAGCTGCCTGTCCTCTGTGCTTCTGGGTCAGGCTCCCTGTTTGATGCTTAGGCCTTCCTACTTCTCAGCTAAGCCTTCCCCAGGGCATTTTCTGTTGGGTCCTTCTAGTCCTTGGCAGGCTGTGGCATTAAGGCTTCCAACCACAGGGGCAGGCCAGAGGTAGGCTACCCATCAGCTGGTTTGGGGACAGCTGTTCCAGCTAACCTACCTCTGGCTGTGTGGCCACAGGTTCAGGGAGGGGCTGCTGGGCCTGGTACCTGTGCATGTGTGCATGTGTGTGCACATGTGTTCTACGTGTGTGCATGTGCACCCACACATGTGATTGCTACATGGATGTGTGTGCATCACATCCGTGTTTGTGACATGCACATGTATGGCATGTGTATATTGGTGTGTGCATGTGCATTGTGTGGTGTGCACATGAGCGTGTCTGTGTGCATACAATGGGACTCGAGAGGGCTTCCCTGTAACAACCCTCCATCCTCCCCTAGGTGCTTGCTGTGTTCACTCTTTCATGTAAATGCACTTACTGGGCACCTGCCATGCACCAGGCTGCTTGAGGGATGGGCCATGGGGAATGAGACATGCATGTCTTTCCTCATGGAGCTGATGGTCTAATGGCACAGGCTGACAGTCATCAAAAAGTTGAAAACTAATTTAAAATTACACAGAGGTGGGGCCAGGAAAGTGAGGTGCGTATTGTGCCAGGGGAGCCTAGAGTGGGATGCAGTCCTGGAGGGCTTTCTTGAGGAACTGACATTTGAACTGAGCTCTAAGAGATGAGTGGGAGGGAGCAAGAAGAGGGGGAGGGGAAAGCATTTCAGATGGAGGGAACCGAATGTGCAAATGTCCTGTGGCAAGGGGGGGTCCCAGGATGGACCAATGTAGGTAGAGCAGAGGAAGACAGTGTGTATGTGTGGGGAGTGGGATCTCACTGCCAGGATGAGGCTCCTGGGGTGGGGAGAGCTTCAAATCCCTGAAGTCAATGGTAGCAGTCTGAGCATGTGGCTGGCTGGGACCCTTACCTCTCCCATCAGCAGCTGCTCATTCTCAGTGGCCTCTGGGCTGTGGGAGCCCTTGCTCCCAGGCAGGCTGAGGCCCAGAGAGGGAGGTGCCAGGGGAACCATCTAAACTCTCAGAAGTGCCTTGCAGGGGTGTGGTTTGGTTCGGGGACAGCTCTGGCGGTGGGGCCTCAGGAAGGCGGTGCCCAGCAGTGGGGGGAGCTGCCGGGTGGAGACCCTACCCCTGTCCCCCGGAGAGGAGGGAGGAGACAGGAGGGCGGAGCCGGGAGCTCCCTGAGCGCTCCCCAGGCCTCAGTTCCCCCCTGGGGGCGCTTCCTCCCGCAGACCCTCATGGAACCCCGCATTTCTGCCCAGTGGGCGGCCTGAGGCTTAGCCGCAGGCGGGGCGGGGTGATCCCGCGGCCACCGCGGGGGACATGGTGCGGTGGAGTAGACCCTGGGCTCCGGGGCCTTGACAGCGGGTCCCCACACTCAGAGCGGACCGCTGCGCCCGCCCTGAGCCCTTGCCTGACGGCTGGTGCCGTCCTGGAGGGGGACGGGCCGGGGACGGTGGCTTTGCCCCGGGACTCCGCAGAAGCGCGGGGTCCTGCACCTGCCGGCTGCGCGGGCCCGGGCGCCGGCGGCGGGGCGGCCTCGCTCACGGGAGCGTGCGTGTCCCGCAGGTTCTCCCGCTCCGACGAGCTGTCGCGGCACCGGCGCTCGCACTCGGGCGTGAAGCCCTACCAGTGCCCCGTGTGTGAGAAGAAGTTCGCGCGGAGCGACCACCTGTCCAAGCACATCAAGGTGCACCGCTTTCCCCGGAGCAGCCGCTCGGTGCGCGCCGTGAACTGAGCGCCCGCCGCCCCCGCGCCCTCCCCGTTCTTTTGTAGCAATAATTTATTTGCGTCTTAAGAAGACGTGACGATGCTGCCAACCCACCTTCCGAAGCCCGGGAGGTGCCGCCCCTCGGGGAAGACCTGGAGCCCTGGGCCCCTGGGGCTGCGCCCCTAGCAGCGGCCGCGGCCCTCCCGCCTCCGTGCCTTGGTGCCTTCCGCGGGCTGGCCGGCGCCGGGCGCTGGGAGCCTGGACCTCCTCCCACGGCTCCCTGCCCGGGCCGAGCCTGGCACCTTTCGCTCAGAAGAAGAAATGTGCGGTTTTGAAGTGTCTGGTCCCGGAGGGAGCCGTGCGGGGGAGGAGGAAGTAGGCCAGAAGTCCAGGGCGCCCGGCGGCGCGGGGGTGCTTTGCTCCAGGATCTGCCCCTCAGCCTGACCAGCAGAGGGGTACGAACAGGGCACTCAGGGTGCAGATCCGGGCCCCTGGCAGATGGGGCATTAGGCAGAGGGTCTGGCCACGCATGTGCTTGAGCTAAAGTGCAGGGCGGAGGATGCAGGCCAGCCCCGGAGCATCTGTACGCAACACGGCTCATCCCCTCATCCTGTTCCAGACAGATCCAGGCACCAGCCTCCGGGGTCACCTTGGAGAAAGAGGGGAGCAGGCTGCATTGTGTGTAGGAGAACTAGATAGAGCCTCCGAATCCTGATTTAGAAATGCATTCCTTATTTTGTCTAGAAATTAATATCAAATGAACTAGCTTGTTTTGACAGGTTTATTTCACATCCTATGAATGTATGTAAATAAGCTGTACATAGGTACATCTACATAAAATGTCTTTTAATAACATGTCAACATTTGTGTAAATTTGAAATTAAAAAATCTATAAAGCTGGTGTACATATGTTACAATTATGTATATTTTCTTTGGTCCTTCATAAAAATATATTTACTTTGCCAATAAAAAGAAAAACGAACTCAATAACTTTATGGCATTCATGGGCTGTTTTCCGCTGCTTTGCCAGGAAATGGGGGTGATTCTGAAGGGTGATCTCTGTGTCTGTGTTCGCACCATTTAGAGGACCTTAATTTGTACCCGGAGAGACATGAAGACCCCTTCGGGGTTCAGCCCCTGGTACAGCAGTGCAGGCTTCCCAAAATAGCCTCACCTCTGTACTGGCTGTGGGGTTTCTGCTCACAGTAGTTTCCTGGAGGGCTCCGTCTCTCCACAAACCCAAATCCAGCCCCAATCCCCGTGTCAACTGCTAGGCCAGGCCCTCAGTGATCACCTCTACTCTGATTTACTGTTGGAGGTGCTCACTCAATGCTCTCTGTGTAGTCCTCCTAGCCTCTACTGTGCACCCACTGTATGCATGGTGTGCCAAGGAGACTCCTTTTAGGAAATGGCATGTTCTTTCCACCTGCCTGGGACATTGTGAATGGATTCAGTGTTGACTAGTAGAGAAGAGGCTTGGAGAGGCCAGTATATGCAATGAGACCGCCTCCTCCACCCATTCGAGGTACTCTGAGTTCTGGGGAGACAAGTCCTCTCGAACTCCCCCCAATTTTTGGGATCTCCACCATGTGCTCGCACAGTTGAGATCTGAATGCATCCACCTGCCCTGGGTAGGTTGGAAGGTGGAGACAGTGGGAGCCAGAGAACAAAGAGAGTCTATAAGCTAGTGAGGGGGCTCCAATGGGTGGCTGATGTTGGGCAGGGCAGGCTGGGCTCAGTGGCTGCCCCAGTTGCCCCGTCCACATGGATAGAGAGGTGAGGACCTTCTAGAGTGGTTCTTTCCCCAGGAGCCCAGTGCAAATGCAGCAAGTGTTTCTTAGTGACACCCTTGGAGATGGTGGAAGGTGGTGATGCACCCATGGATTTACAGCAGAGAGATGTCTAAGCAAGATGTGTGCACGCATGCTTTCATGTGTGTGAAATCATGTACCTCAGAAGGGGGAAGCCATTGTTCCTGCTGACAGGAACCATCTGCTACTGTCATCTTTCCTGTCTGGTGGATGCTGGCAGACATGAAGCTTTCAGGTGCACCCACCATACAGCATGGTGATTGGAGAATGGACACCCCATCCTGACCAGCTCTGTTCTTGGCGAAAGGACTCGGCCTTGTGACCCTTGCCCTTTGCCCCTGACCAGATGTACCCTCTGTAGTCAAACACGTTCCAGGGAAGTGAGGCATTGATTCCCAGGTGCCTTAATGTAGCCTTTCTTTATCCACAAACAAGCAATGCAGCCTGGATAAGAGAGAGAGTGGAGGTCACGATAGTCATACTGGAGGAAGAATACATCAGTGAGCACATGTCCCTATGATGCAGGCACTGACCCAGGATGCTACTCCCCTCGTCTCAGTGTGTGCAGTCCCCTAGCCAAGGCACAGCTGGCCACATGTGCAGGGTGGTCCAAGCCATCATCCTCAGGTTGGGCTCCCGACTCCCCACCTAATTTGTGTGTTGGCCTCTGCCTTGGGTGGGCAGCATGGTCCAGGTCTCTGCTTCCCGGAAGGGTTGGCTGAGAGAGGGCTGGCAGGGACAGCAAGGCAGAAGGAGTGTGGCATGAGTGAAGAGATGTGGGCATGAAGACAACTGCCTCTCACTCCACTTTGGGCAAGTTTATTAAACCTTTCTGATTTCAATTTCTTCACCCTGCAGAATGGACATGATAGTCCTCACATCATAGCGTGGTTGGTGAACAGTAAGTGGGAGAGTGTGACTTTGAACAACAGCAAAGACCCGTTCTAGGGTGTGAGTGTCCTCTCAACCAGATGAAGAGGCTGGCGAGGCAGGGCCTCCATTCTCTGCTGTGGCCTGGGCCTGCACAAGTGCCACTGTGGTGAGACCCATGAGAATTTTGAGAGCTCTGCTGAGGCATCTGACTTGTTTCTTGCCTCTGAGAGACCCCCCTGCCAGCACCGTTGTTACCCTTTGTGATTTCTGTGATGGGAAAAGTAGTGTTTCTCTTGGCCCGCGAGCCAAGAAAGCAGATGGAGACATCGGTCAGTATGCCCCTAACTGTTCGTATTAGGAGTCTGGTTGGTTGCAGAGCAGAAACCCCAGCCTTAACAACCCTGCCCTGCACAATACTCCTTCCCCAAGGCACACAGAGGGTGGAGGAAGTACCATTTATTGAGCACAGTACCAGGCAAAGTATGGGTTAGGGTGCTATAACAAAGAGACTCCCAAACAGTGTGGCTGCCACAAGATAGAAATTTATTTTTCCCTGTTAGAACAATCTGGAAGTAAGCAGCCTCAGCTGATAGGTGGCTCTGGCATGGGATAGCCAGGCTTCTTCCCTCCTGTCACCCGCCACACTTTGGTCTTGGTGCAAGATGACTGGCCAGGGTATCAGACGAGCCCCCAGAAAGCAGGTGAGAGGCAGTGTGTTCCATTCCCTTCACAAGTCAGTCCCCTCGTGTCTGTTTGGCCAGAACCTAGTCACATGGCCTCATCCACCACAAGGGAAGCTGGAAAAAGTGGTCTTGATCTGAGAGATTGTGTGCACAGCTAAAATGCAGGGGTTCCACTACAGAAGAGTGAAGCAGAGCATAGGAGCTGCCTTTCCACTGTGCGTGCATGCGCCATGCCTAGCACTGGGTGTACAAGGGACCCTGTTGTCCTCCTGAAACCTGGCAGAGTGGCACCTGTGCAGCGTGCGAGAGTCATTGGGGGCCCGGTGGGTCTGCTGACCTGTGGCTTTTTCCACATTCTCAGAGTGGGTGTCACTGACAGGCATGAGACCAACAGCTGGGCTTCCAGGGACAGCAGGGGGTCTCAGGGGGAAACCATAGGAAGGAGGAGCTAAGATGCTTTTGCTGACAAGCCAAGGCTGCAAATGGCAGAGTCCTGACTCATATGGATGAAAGTAAACAAAACGAAACCTCATCAGGTCATCATTGTCTACTGCTGGATAGAGCCCGGAGTCTTTACATGGGCCATGGGGGCAGAGGAACAGAGGCAGAAAGGCTTCTAGGGAATCATAGTTTTTCTTGTGCCCCCATGTTCAGAGTATCCCAGGCCCTGGGCAGTGGGTACAGAGGAGATGCTGGGAGGAACGGGTGTGTTAGCCTGGACAGCAGTTGGTGTGGCTAGGGCTTTGAATGTCACATAAGGGGACCAAGAGTGAGGACAAAGTCTACCTTCTGTGTGACAAACACCAAGTCTAAATGGAAAAAGACCACAGGTGACTGGGTGACGGGCACTGAGGGGGGCACTTGACAGGATGAGCAGTGGGTGTTATACTACATGTTGGAAAATCGAACTCCGATAAAAAATGTATACATAAAAAAAGAAAAGAAAAGAAGAAGACCACACGTGGAAGGGGGCAGCATTTGGAAGGGTCAAGGAGAGCACGTACCTCAGCCATCCAAGGCAGGAAAGGCATCACTGGAGTTTCCTATTACTGTCCATCTGCTGGGAGGTCACAGAGCATGCTCAGGTTGGAACGGAAGAGCAACAGGACGGTGCAGAAAGAGGGGCACCTGGGTGGCTCAGCGGTTGAGTGTCTGCCTTAGGCTCAGGTCCTGATCCTGGGGTCCTGGGATCAAGTCCCATATTGGGCCCCCAGCAGGGAGCCTGTTTCTCCCTCTGCCTATGTCTCTGCCTCTCTCTCTGTGTGTCTCTCATGAATAAATAAATAAAATCTTAAAGAAAGGGTGAGGGAAAATCACAATGAAACAAAGATGGCAACAGAGTTAAAGCTTGCTTTGGTACAGCAAGCAGGACAAGCGAAGTCCAGACACTATTCAGAACTAGTGGAGAAGGAAGGGTGGAAATGAGATACATAGGTATGGAGGGCAGAAAACACAGCACCAATAGCTGGATACCAGGGAGTCTGGATCAGACTCCAGAAAAATGACATATGTACTAATATATAGCACATGTACTCTACTAATATATAATATACTATTATATAACATATAACACACTAATATGTAAGATGCACAATATACTAACAATACACTGATATATAATGTATATAATATAATATATAACACATAATACACTAATATATGATATATAGTAATATGTAATATATGAACATATATACTAATATATGACATATACACTGATATAATATAGTATATAATTCTGACCATATACACATATAAGTGGAGGACTGGGAAATCATCTCACTCTTGGAGGACAGGAGAGCATAGTGGTGGCTCCTAGAGGCATTTAGTTGGAATGAGGCCATGTAAGCTCAGAGGGCCTCTCTGAACTTCAGAATCCTTATCTGTGAAGTGAGTGTGATAACTCTGACCCATGGGTTCTGTGAAGATGGAGTTAATTATGTTTAAAACAACAGACCCATTGCATGGTGGACAAGAGGGGACAATGAGTGATAAGGTGGAAAGGAGAAAAATGCAACAACTGAAGAGGGGCCTCCCAGTGGAGCAGAGCATCTGAGATAAGGATGCAGGAGCTCAGAGCAGCCATATCTCATAAGGTCCTGCTGCACGCTGCAGCCCTGTCAGTCCTGCGTGGGAAGCCCCCCCCCCACCCCGGGAGCCTTGAAGAACGAGCCTATTTTAAGAGATCTGGACCCTGAGACCAAGAAACTCTCCAACTACCATTGGTTCTTCCCTGTCTCAGCTTACCTGTGGGGGGGACTCTCAGAGCCTTCCAGGCACAAGGACAGGCCAGCATCTGCCTCTGATAGAGACCCAGGGATGCTCCCCAGGGCTGTTCATTGCCCGCTTGTTCCCAACGTTAGTTCTGGGAACTGGGCTCAACTCTGTGCTGCTGGTACAGGTGAGGAATGGGATCACCATAGCTCTCATCAAAAGATGACATCAGAGACATAACCAACTGGGAGATGAGCAGAAGGAAGAGCTAGCATAAGAGCAGGGAGGTCATAGTGGGACATATCTAAGAATGAAAATACATTTATGTAGAGCCGAGTCTAGATACTTGCAAATGGGTTTTAAAGTCAAAAGACAGATGTCAAATACTATAACAGAAAGA